TGGTATAGTTTTTATAGTAATGTACATCATGTTTTTTTTAGATTTTTCATTTTCTTATTTTAGAAGTTAGAGAGAGGGGGACCAACTTTTTTCCACTTTGGAAGCGTCTGTCACGCAAACTATTCGATTTAGAAAAAAAATATTTTAGAAACCTCGATATCATTTTTGAAGACCTATCCATGGATAACCCACACGTGTGTTTGATGAAAAAAAAATTTTTGAGTTTCAGTTCTAAGTATGGGGAGCCCCCAATATTTTTTTATTCACAGAATACATCTACCTACCAAGTACATACAGTATAGCTCTTATAGTTTCGGAAAAAAATGGCTGTGACATACGGACGGACAGACAGACATGACGAATCTATAAGGGTTCCGTTTTTTGCCATTTGGCTACGGAACCCTAAAAAAGCGGAATAAAATCCATGCGCGATACAAGCTTTCGAAATTATTTGAACCTTGCATGCAATTATTTTTGTCGTTTTATTATCATGTGTTAACGGATTAACGATTAACGTTAACTTGCGTTAAATCTTGTGAAATGTAACGTTTTAACGTTTAACGAAGTTAATTTTTTTATTAACGGTTTAACGATTAACGAAGTTAACTATTTGATTAACGGTGCCCAGCTATGCTTTTAAATTACTAAGTTTAATTAAAATCTAAAACGTGCTATCGGTTATTTTAATCAGCTTGGGTGTTAAAAGTTGTTCACTGTTTGAAAAGAAGATGGATTTAACATTACTTATTGTCTTTCTAAATAATTGCTTTGGTTTTATTTAAAATTATTTTTGAATAGCATAAAATATGTCAGAGTTACGTTTGTCACAAAAATACTTTTTACGGTGGGCTATTTTAAATTTTGTAATTTGCATACTACTGAATACCAAAATGTAGGTAAGTACCTCGCAAAAAATATTCTTGTTCAAAGTTCAAAATTGTTTGAACTAGACAAGTGCCTACAATAGGACTGGCTCGAAATGAAAGATATTTATGTCGGCCTATGTAGTATTCATAGTGCTAATTTAGAAACCATTCTTTGCTGATCTGAAAGAAACAATGGGTGTATCGAGAATGTGTTAACGAATAAGAGACTTAACAAAGTATTGTTTACTAGTAATAAACACCTTCTATTAGGCTTATTATACAGGGTGGAATTTTGTAATGCCACCTGGAGGGAAAGTACTCTTAATTAAATACTGTAGATAGAAAATTTTACTGAAAGAAAACATTCCTTTATTTGTGACAATAAAGAGAACTGCATTCGAAAATTCTCTACCATACCATACAATTTTCTGTACATAATTAAAATAATATAAGATTTCATGGTTTTCCTTTCATTTGATTTATCAAGTTTGTTAGAGAGATTTCATCCTTATACTTAACCCTAACGTTCGATGCAATTAAAATAGGGTGTAATTTTTAACCCGATTGAATCCCGGATGTGGCAAGCAAATTTTTGGAAATCTTTGAACGCAGTTCTATTTCTTTTCAAAAATAAAGAAATGTTTTCTTTGAGAAAAAAAAATCTATCTACAATATTAAGAGTACTTTCCCTCCAGGTGGCATTACAAAATTCCACTCTTTATAACAATAGTTTCTTGCTTATCATTTAGAAGTACGAGTATTTACGTTCTACTAACCTACGACACATTATAATTCCTTCTCCAATTATTTCTAAATAGGCTGATTGGTGCGACCTGAGGGCCTAGTGTGAGTTTACATGAAACGCGATCACTAGTGAGGACGTTTGTAAACTCACACTCAGCCCACTGCAATCCAGTGAGTCTTCCAGTCACGTGGCCAACTTTTAGCTTGGTCCCCGGGCCAAGTCACTGGATTTAATTTTTGAATATTTTTTCTTCGAGCTAAAAGTGGGCCAAGTCACTGGAAGACTTCCTACTTATCTTTATGAGGTCATCTGTCTACCTTGTGTTGTGGGTGGACGTCTCATGCTTAGTTTCGACTTAGTTCAGTGCAAAAAAATCTTCATTGTAGAGTAGACATAAAATAATTAATAGAATTCAGTTTCCTTGGACGTTGATAATTAACGAGTCAGAAGATACACTCATTGTAGACACAAAATACTTAATAAAATTCAGTTTTCTTTCACGGTGATAATTAACGAGTCAAAAGATACACGTATGTGAATCAAATTAATAGTAATGTTCCCTATATCTTATTTCTTCAATGCACGTGCCATACAATGATACAATATCACTGGTCGTAAAATTAAGAAGCTATAAATTATTATACAAGCTTTTTAAATGACTTAAGGTAAGTACACATTACGTATGCAAAGCTTGCGAAATTTTTGAACGCGTGTAAAAAAATACTACACTTATAAAAAGCCCCAAAGATACACTCGTATGCTAGTAAAATTGAAGCCCCTTTGACTAGATCTATGAAGGGAAACTTACTGAGTCGTAGATAGGTCATGAGTAGAGCCTATTCAGACTTAAAGAGCCGCAGAAGAACTAAGGAAGTATACACTATTCCCAATTTCCCATATGACAACAAAAGTTTTTTATAATAGTAGTTTTTATCATGCTTTCCGCCGCTTTACCTATTGTGCTTTTCACTGAGTTAATTTTTGTTTGGAGTCCCGCAGTGTGGTGTTGGCCTTAAAGTTATTGTGTTTCCCATTGAAGTTTTTGTTATAATCGAACCATTCACGGCTTTTATTGGGCTATAAAATCATTATGAGTTAACTTATTGAACTCTACGATGTACAAATGGCGGCACTCAAATAACACATTATTGTTGCATCGAAAATGTCCATATTGTATTCTTGTCTATACAAATCTAAAACATAGTATTGCAAAGTAATGTTAATCAGATTAAAGATACATTATCATATTTATAATGCGTTCGTGTCAAATTATTAAATGGCGGATTCATAGAAATGTTTATAATATGCTCATAATAAGTAAGATATCTTGCGTAAGCTCTGATTTTTTAAACATTATTGTCAAAAGATTTATACTTGGAAAAAAATATGATATTTTCAGATTCAGGACATTAAAACTCTTTCTGTATTAGTAATCTTAAAATAAATAAAGTATTTGCCTACGTTACAAACGCTACAATGAATTATGTAATTGTATTGCTCGTCACGAACGCCACAATTTACGGGCACCTTTATGATTTGAGAGATGAAAATCACGCTAATTAGTTGGCATGGGAATCGAATGCCAATGATTGGCACCGTACAAGATAACGTAATAGCCAATTTCACACACACCCACCATCTTTCTGAGAGCCCCCATTGTTGGCGCCAGCAGTACCATATCATCAGCGTAGCTTATGTTGTTGATACAAACACCATCTACCCAGCATCCGATACGCATACTGCTAAGGGCAACAATGAGGTCATTTACGTATAGGTTGAAAAGCCTGGGAGACGTCAGCCCACCCTGTCTCACCCCGCACTGCAACCCATACTCCTCAGAAAAAACGTTAGCCCATCTTACGCTGTTAATCTGGTTAGCATACTAATAATGGAATATTTGTGATACTTCTGACGGGACGCCCTGCCTCCTCATCTTATCCCAAAGGATGTCATAAGACACAAGATCGAACGCCTTGGAGAGGTCGAGGAAGCATGCGTAAATGGAAGTCCCCTGATCCGTGTAGTACCTGACAGTGTGCTTAAGACTAAGGATGGCGCTCTCGGTCGACAGTCCAGGCTTAAACCCGAATTGAGCATTATGTGATTTTAAATATTTATCTAGTAGAGAGTCAAGCACACTGTCAAGGACCTTTGCCGTGATTGTAGCTAGAGAGATCGGTCGGGTATTAGCATGGTCTATCATACAAGGTAGGTATTAAAGTGCTACAGTTCTGGGGACGTTTTGTCCCATTGTTCTTTAAGCTTTGTTTTTAAATGAGAAGGTTTTTTATTAGTTTACGAAAAGACGTTTTTTTATTCATTTCTTGTATGTTGACTATTGTGTAAGTCTAAGTAAGAGTACCTAGGCATATTTTTCAATCAAAATCCTCATTGGTGTAAATATATATTTTTTCTGATTCTGAATAATATTAGGAACGTAAAAAAAATTTAACTAATGTCCGTATTGTTCCAAATTCAATAAATTCATTAAAATATTGAATACATTTATTTTTATTTCCAACCCATTCTTTAATAGGTACGTGCTTAGCTAGGAAAATAACATAGATAAAATTGGTGTTTAGCTAAACAATTATATTTAAATTTTAGTTTTCAAGTAATTTTAATTTAATGTATTACTATAAAATATATTTCGTCATCACCATTAACATAAGATCATTACCATTTTAATAAAATCATTACCATTAGGAAAACGTCATTACCATTTTGTGAAAAAATATTTGGACGCTTGTTACTTCTAAAATCACGATTGAATCTAAGGGCCTCACACTGATCTAAAAAGCTTATTGCTTAACCTTTCAGTTTAAGCTAGTTTGCACGCATCCCTGTTAAGTTTTTCAAAAAACGTAAAATAAATCCCGCGGAATAAAATCGGCGGATCTACCCTCGCGCTAAGTTTGCCGGTCCGTGGAATGCGCGTCCCCTCCCCCAACCGCGATTAAACGCAATTAGTGATTAAATGCAATTAATGTGTCTTATTTTACGCAAATACACAATTTTTATCAATAATAATAAATAAAAAATATTTTAAATATAGTTTGTTAAAGTTAAAGACGCTTTTCTTCGAGTGACGTCATATCGCCAGCGGCAAACTTATCGCGAACGGATAGTAGTGTTGTGTCTCCATGAATGAGTCAGCATTTGCTGAAAAGGGAACGAGCTAGGTAAGAAGAGAGCCACACATACGCTACACAACGCACACAGTAAAGTATCGTTTTATATAGTTTTATCTACAACGACTACAACACAGTGTACCGAGCCATAGGCCGGCGAGCTATAACAGTTATTTGCCAGTTCAGTCTGTCGTCGGCACCAGTCGGCACCGATCGGAATTCACTGCTCGACGCTCGCGTTTGCTCCGTCTGTGTTCTACTTTACTGTGATACAGATAATATCCTTAAAACATTCATAGAATACTTAAATTATACCAGTGACCATAGTTATATGTTCTTATAATACACACCTGTGAAATAATACTAAAAGCTACTAGATAGTATACATTTTTTAAAAGAGAAAAAAACATCGAAGAACTCAAATACAAAAGTACCTAATTTATTATGCAATCCGGCGCTCAACACAGATAAATCTGTTCAGATGAAATGTTAAAATTGAAACTAATTGGTGGAACTCATCGATCTTGTCAAAATCAAGAGTGAATTTTTATTGGTAAATTAAAGTGACTGACTTGTGAAAACGCACTTGTTTTACGGAAAGTTTAAAAGCCGAACTTAATTTTAGTCGTCAATGAGTGAAAGTTATTGCCTGCAATGGATTCAAAAATCATATTGAAGGAAAAAAATCCACATGATAAGGCTAACATTGCATCCAAGATATTTTTAACGTAAGTATTTACCTATCTTTAGAATTTCATTATCTTATGTATCTCTAAACAATTTTTACTATTTAACTAGGGACTTAGCTTATACTTATGTAGTGTGGTTATGAACTTATCGCATATTGCGAATGTGATTGTGTTTATTTAAGATAACCTTGGTTGTACGTGCTTTTAAGTTGATGAGTACTACCTACTTACAAATAAACTTTTACCGTCGATCACTAATGGCAAAATTTATTCTCGATTGAATAGCAATACAAGTGGTATTTTATAGACTACAGCCTTAGATGGATAGTCTTCATACAAACGCTTCAAGAGTGAGGCAAAAATCTTATGTCATTAGTGTCAATTTTCTTGGGGAGTGTGGACAATGAAGGCGATTTCCCCGAAAGTAGGGAATTTTTTAATGCGTTTTTAATTATTTTATAATAATTAACAAAAACAAAACGCATCATTTACTTACTCATTTATTGAAATCAAAGTACCTACGTAATTACAATAAGATAAATTGACTTAAGTCTCGATTTCATAAAAAAGGAATTTTTCATAAAAAACAATTGGGAAATAAATTTTCTTGTTACTGGTATCATTCCCGTATTTAATTTTTGAAAGCCAAATTCAAGCAAAATACGCGTCGAATCGTAGTACTCGTAGGTGGCTCAAAATCACCCAAGGTTGCGAATTTCAAAATCGGTTTTATGACAAAAAAAATTGCAAACTATAATGATGACTATTAGTTTATACTGTTGCTTAATTTGTATATTTTTAAACCTTGACAGGGCAGCGCACAGAATTCTTTATTTTTTTAGTAATATTGCTTAGTAGTAAATATGAAATGTAACACTGGTCACTTTCTTTCGTTTTTCTGATGTATTTATTAGACACCCTTTCAAAGCACAGACCGTCATAATTAATTAAAATTCGTCGGACGTGTTTACCAATTTTTCACTTTAACAGTTCATGTGACGTTTGCGAGTGAGCCGTTCCGGCTCACTAAAAGTTGTCTCACCTTTCGTGCACTATCTACTAGGCTTTATTAATCTAATGCTCCTAATTTTTAAGTGAGCCCTATGACAACAAAATTCATATTATGTGTTACCATAGGGGTCACTTAAAAATTAGGGATTGATGGTGAAAACGGGCATAAGACTACAGCACATTAAGGTTAATACTGTAGATCGAATCTTATCTTGTGGTAATAGATGCTATTTACAACATAAATATAAGTAATTATTATAAATAGTCCGATGTGCTTTTTGGGACTAAGTACGCGTACACACAGTCGCCATCACATGCAGGGCCGGATTAACCATCTCGGGGCCCCTAGGCACAGCTCCTTTTGGGCCCCCCTTTTTTTTGTCGCGGAGGATATGATTTGCGCACCGTCACCATTGCCGGGGGACAGGGTGGTGTGTGGGACTCCCGGCGCCCATAGGAAACTGCTCGTGTATATTTTGTAGTGCCTGTTTGTAAATCTGTGACTCCAAACTATACACGAATTTTGCGTACTGATCGTGTATAGTTTGGAGGAGCTTAGTAAAAAAAATCATTTCCAAACTATACTCGATTAGTTTCTACTACACCACTGTACACTTGATTAGAGTGTGTTTAGTTGATATTGATTTAGTAAAATTCAGTAAAATATGGAACTATATTTAAAATTACATTTATTTGATATTATTACATAAAATATTATTATTTTACTGAATCTATAATAAATCTAGATTTTTAAAACTATTGTAAGTGGTTTTTGAAATTAAATTGATTAGGTAGATTTCAAATTAAATAACAATTTAATTAAAATGAGAGAGAGTGAGATAAGAAAGTTCAACGTGCATTAAATACAATATTATGCGAGACTTTAAATGCTAGGTTTGTATTGTCGGCCGTTTGTTCGAAAGTGTAGTGGTTCGAAACGGACTTACTATTCCGGAGGTAGCGGGTTCGATTCCCGCACAGTACAAACATTTGTATGCATGAACATATTTGTTTGTATTGGACTGGGTGTTTTCTATGTACATAATAAATAAGTATGTATTTACAAAAAAAATGTATTTAAGTAATGTTTATATCCGTTGTCTAGTACCCATAGTACAAGCTTTGCTTAGTTTGGGACTAGAAGCGCAGTCAGTGAGGCTTTTTAGCCTCTGAAGGGCGTCAACCGTCGACCTGTCATGTAAACCAAAGCAGTAATGCCAACGTCACGAAAATTAATTAGGTTCCACAATATCGAAATCAGTAGCGGCGTAAGGGGGGGGCGGTGGGGGCGGTCCGCCCCGGGTGCCAAGCATCAGGGGGTGACAAGTCGCTCGCAAGATTAGTACTCACTGGCGCATCTGCATGGCAAGGACGGTCGTGATGTCATGACAGGGGGGTGCCATTCTGGGGTGCCTTAGGCTATAATTGGGGGGGGGGGGGGTGCCGCCCCGGGTGCCAACCTATGCTACGCCGCCACTGATCGAAATATGACGATTGAATGTGTAAACCAAAATAAGGCGAAGTTTTGAGGTGGTTTGAGTTTTGTTGCATAAAAATAATCTTTAACATTTTTTTTTTTTTCATTTTTTTATCGGGAGTGCTGGGCCCCTGGTCATAGTGGGCCCCTGGCCATAGTGGGCCCCTAGGCACTGGCCTAAAGTGCCTTATGGATAATACGGCACTGATCACATGACTTACTTGACTTGACTTATGGTCCTATGTCCCCTAGATGGGGCAGAGGGCGTCCACAACAGTCCTCCATCGCGTTCGGTCTTGAGCTATGTGTTTGATCTCGCTCCAAGTCTTGCCAATCTTCTTCGCCTCGTCTGCCACAGCGCGCGCCGCCAAGTTTGCTTGGGGCTTTGTCGCCATCACATGAGGACTAAATATGTAATTGCATAAAATAGTGACTATATGTAGGTATTATAGTATTATATTATCTGTGCAAAAGGTCAACATTATTGTTATTATCTTTGTGAGATTAATGTTTCTATTATTGTTAGTAATACCATATTAACGTAGTGATTGCATTAAACTTATAATATTCATAGTTAAGTAGGTATTTAGGTCCTAGGTACTAGCTGCATAAAAAATAATAAAAATCCCACAGTAAGGTAGGTAGGACCTATTTGAAAACAATTCAAATGCCAAATCTTGGTCTAAAAATAGAAAATTTTTCACATTTTAATTCCTGTTCCAATCTAAGCCTACTTAATTTAATCACAAACTTATGTTACGGCCCGCACTATAATAAAAGGCAATGATGGCCAGTTTTCTCGAGGATCAATATACTTAATACACCTAGGTACCTGATTGGTTTACTCACATTACCACAATCGGTCGGAACAGAACAGACATAACACGCGCATATTTCGCCTAGAAGACAAGGCCCCCTTTTTGTAAAGGCTTTTTACACTTTCAGATTTTATATGGTTTGTACCTATCATTGACCAGTTACTTACATCAATAAAGTTTCGATTTAAAAATTTCGCGTGACGCATATTCAGCAAGGGAACACTTACGGTAACTTGAATTCTGCAAGTCACGGTGACAATATAAATATTTGCGAGCTCATTCGAATATCCTTTAGGTCTATCACATATTTTATTTCTATGAATAAAGCATACCTACGACTGTATTTTTACACCGACACTCTTCAGACAAAAATGATATACTAGCGTGGAGACGACAATACTATGAACAATAATAAAATAACAACCGAAAAGATGTTATTAATATTAATTCATAATATTAAATTATATGTATAATTGTATAAGGTGTTATGAAGTTATGCATTGTTATGAAACTACATACCTAAATAAATATCGCTGCCAAGGAAAATAATTAATGTTCTGACGAATTTGCCGGTGCTGCGCTGCTAGTTATGCCGTAAGAAAGAAACAAAATTCGAAAAAAAGATTTAGGTACATAGGTATAGGTACAACATGGTCAAACTAAAATTAACCATTAGGTAATAACCCGATAATTACGGCCGTCAATTTACCTGCAGGGGGCGCTGGGCATTTATGGATCAAGGGGTCCAATTCCCCTAAAAAGCGGAAATTCCAAAGTTTAAAACTTTTCAGCGATTTACTAAAAAAGGGGTTTGCCGATATAAGTACGTTTTCGGTAACTTTAGGCCTACCTATTAAAGCATCGTTGCAGCTGTTACCAGTGGTGATTTGAACAATACATAAATTGGTAGGCATTTCAACGTAGGCTAGTTGATTAACACGGAAACTATCAAAAAGTCCACTGCACATCAAACTATAACATTTTGGTTGCTAACTCGCTTTTATTACAACTTGCCGAAGTGTTTATTAGCTCCAAAACGTGGCTTCTCACTATAAGCCTCATAAAATTAAATAAGCTTGAGCTTAATTTATTATGCACAGCGTGCTATGGATGCATCGAATAAGAAATGGATCCGTAAAGGAACTAAGTATTACTTTTCTCTATGAACTAAAGTCGCTGACATAGCTTCTTTATATGCTGTCGTCTGTACAAATAGGTGTGTAATATATAACGTGTATTTGACAACAAGATGCCAACTGCTCATGTTCTTTGTTTCAGATGGAGTTTCAGCTTGTTCAAAAGAGGCTACAAACAAGCAATCACCCTTGAGGATCTCTGGCAGGCTCGTGAGGGCGACCACTCCGGCGCCCTCGGCGACAGACTCGAGGAGGCCTGGGAGTATGAGCTCGACAACGCCCGGCGGAATGGCGGCAAACCGTCCCTCTCACGGGCCATCGTTAGGTCCTTCTGGGTAGAGTACATGCTCTGCGGACTTGGCGTTGGTTTACTTTTTATCGTGTTATGGTGAGTGATATGATAAGACATATTATTTCGATCTTTGAAATAATATCTGCTCTGAGTTTGAATGATTTAGCTATCTTTTTGAATTTGTGATCGATTGGAGTCTAGCAAATTGAATATGAAACCGCTCTACGATCGTGCAGAGACGGGGCGCGGCCGCGGCACTCCAAGTCTGCCTAGTCATTTTGCGGTCTATGTAACTACCCTAACCGTGTTTCAACGTAAAAAAGTTTTAGCACAGTTGTAAATTAATGAGAAAATTGTGTAGTTTTTATATGAATTGCACTTGCTACGTAGATGATCTATAATTTGTTTAAATAACGAAAAATTAAGGAGATGCGATCATCATTTAAGTTTAGTAGTATGTAGTAGGTATTTAATATGCCTATTTTCCTTAATGCGGCTAGTACCGTTATCTGGTAGTGTCTTCTAGCTAAAATTGAAACTGAACTAAAGGAAGTAAAACTTTGTTTCAGGCCTTTGATACCATACACGTTAGCTTTATTCATAGCATATTTCGCCGGGGAAAAGAATGCGGAAACTTATAAACAAGCACATATTTTGAATTTTTCTATGAATTTACTGAGTATAGTTACCGCCATAATGATGAACCACATGACATTGGCTCAGGCATGCATTGGAATGAAGGTTCGAATAGCATGTTGCTCAATCATGTATAGAAAGGTACGTGCAATGATTTATTTAATTTATACAGGCAGGACCCGATAGCCTAATCCAACTTTCTAAAAAAAATATATCCGTCTGGTTTGGACGGGTTATTCCCAAAGGTCCACGACTCTATTATGTTAGTGTCATGGACCCATTGGCAATTAAAGTATGATTTAATTGCCAACGGGTAGGACATGACATCAAAAATAAAAAAGCTTTTTTGATGAAAAATTTAAAATTTCATGCACCCGGTGGGAAATAAGAATAATAGAGTCGTGGACCTTTAAAAATAACCCGTTTGGAGGTTTGGACAACCCTGTATTTACTATATTTAAATATTAAGTTAGGTAGTAAGGGAGATAATTAGGAAAAATAATTAATATAATTTACAATTATACTAATTTATATCTGCTTATCTGCCTCTATAAATCATCGATTCGTGAAACGCGCGCGCGCCGCCCTTCGGCTCACTCAAAGTTGACCGTACTGCGATATCTCTGCTAGCCGTTAATGAGTGAAAGATGATGAATGAGCGATAGTTTATTATGACAATTGACCTATAAAAGCTGTAAGTGTTGTTTACATACTATACCTATTAGTAGGTAAAAGTGAAGGCTAGTAAGAGGTCGGTTAGTTATCGTATAATAATGACATCACTGGACTTCTCATGTGCAATAGAACAGAATAAATAAGTAGTTTACATTATTATGAATAGAAGTGTATGTTTCTTTCATTAAATAAATAAACTGTAGGTTAACTTTTACTTAATTAAAAAAGCTCATAAGTACTATAAATCAATGAATTACTCACGATTGATTAACCTTGATTGTTTATAGAATTGGAATTGTATCGTTTGTAATGTGGTTAATGGTATTTGGTAGTTACCTTTACCATTCTTTATATGGGGTCGATGGGGTTCCGTGAGTTATTAATAACCACTTCCTCTAATTAAAATACGTGTATGTATCGATTCTGAGTCTATTAAACAGAGTGAAAACCACACACACTCCAAAAAATAGGACAACCAAAGCAAAGGTCTATTAATCAATTAACAAAATAAGTCTATTCGCCATTAGTAAATTAAAATATAAAGAAGTTTTAGGGTAATAAGTAATTTAATACGGTCTACGTTGCAAGAAAGTTGAAGTATTTTTTATTTTTTTAATAATAGCGACGGGGTATACTCGTACAAACACACATTTTAAAAATGTATGTAACAAAGTAAATCTAAAATCTTAATGCAAGTCATAATGAGTCTTATATGAAACACACACAGACATTCATTTATTTAGAATAGGTTTAAGACAATCGCGATTGGCGCCGTTAGTAGCGCCGTAGCAGTTTTAATTTCATTTCTCACCATGACATTCATGAGTTGGTAAGACAGTAGGAAAGTTGGTATAGTATAAAACATAATTATTAGGTACACACACAGGGTAAGCTGGTTTGCCGAGTGTATACAGGATCCTTTGGACAATAAAAAGATATAGCACTGATAAATAACGCTTAAACTCTACTATTACTATAGGGCTGACTTGCCTTTCTTCAAAATTTATCAGTCTCAAAATAACTTAAACTATGGGAATCAAAACCAACCACCCTACATAATGATTTATTGATTTTGTAGATACTGAAGCTCGATCGCGTTGGAATGAGTAAAACAGAGCCGGGCCAAGTTATAAACTTGATGTCGAATGACGTAAACAGGTTTGACCTGGTGTGCCAGTTTCTGAACTACCTATGGGTGATGCCCATCGTGGTGCCCGTGGTGTCTTATCTGGTCTGGCAGCACGTCTCCTACGCCACCTTCGCTGCTCTGTTGGTCATATTTTTGCAGACCGTGTTGATTCAAGGTATTTATTGTAATCGTCGAAAGTTAATTTTGAAATGAATACTTTCTTATATTGAACTTCTTTAATACTAAATTATAAATTAATCGAGTCTTGGGTGTTAATCAAATCTTATTCGTAGGTACCTACCTAATATGATTGCCAAATTGGCGCGGATTTTTATTGCAGATATTAAAGTAATGCTCTGTAATGGTGCCCATTAACAAATTACCAATATCTAATTTAATTCGTGATAAAATTGATAAATAGAGCCATCGATATCATGTCTAATTTATAAAATCATAATGACTAAGGGTTTATTAAACAGTTTCGATAACTTAAACGGAACTTCTGTTTCATTGATAAATTGGCAATTCATTTGTAGTCATGAATTTTTGGTGATGTTTTAGCTTACCTCAGCAATCGTCAAGGAGTTCTGCGAGGGAAGATAGCAAAACGTACAGATGAGAGGGTCAGAGTGATGACAGAATTAATTAACGGAGTGCAGGTCATTAAGATGTACGCCTGGGAGAAACCTTTCGAGAAACTGGTCGACACTTTGAGGAAGTAAGGCTTCATTTTAATTATTGGTTTTAAAAGTAATGGAAAGTACTTATCTTAATTGCTTGATTGGCAATATTTATATTTTAGTCTGCCATTAATGAATTATTTTACCAGCTAGTTGTGAATACCCACGTAAATATTATTGGGCACTAATGAGAAAATAATAATTAATACCTTATTAGGTTTTTCTGTGACGTCAGGTTATAATATAAATGAAGTCATAGAACAGATTTGCTCCGTGAATTATTATGCCACAATTCAATAATGTTATCTATTTGAAATATGCGAGCGACTTTACATCCCCTACCTATTTCGAACATACTGATAAAAATAATTGATAAATTACCATTCAACCACCTGGTTCCCACTGGTAAACCCTTCGATTTATTTTACAAGTAAAAGGGTGTCTACCTACTCTCTGTCTCCCTATGCGCCATACGTCACGCACCATGTAGATATTTTTTTTTTTAAATTAGTTAAGATGATGTTATTTTCTGGATTCTGAGACTAGTTTTTATTCTTACAGGCTCGAAATTAAGTTCATACGTCGCACGTCAATGATCAAAGGGTTCTCTACGGCTCTCATGGTGTTCACGGAGAGATTCATCTTGTTCGCGACCATAGTAACCTTTGTGGTGATGGGTGGAGAAATCAGATCGGGAATTGCGTTTTCTTTGATCCAGTATTTCAATCTGTTGCAATTAGCTTGCAATATTTTCTTCCCCATGGCTCTTTCGTTCCTCGCTGAAACTAAAGTGTCCATCAGACGACTGGAGGTAACAACTTTTTAGTTCCTATTATTAGGCTGTTTGTTTTATAAGTTCAAGTTGTTTACTGTAATAAAATAGTAAACAGACTTTTCATTAGCCGTTTGTTTTGTTATTGTGGTTTTATAATAACACACTTGTTGCGATTTTATTGAGTTATTTACATTTTGTTTTTCAAACTTAATGAATCATAGCATTCATAACTCGCAATATTATTATGTTAAAATGTTTGCGCTATATTTACGAGTAGGCTAATTAATTAAAATCTTAAAAACACTTTCCAATCCAACAGCTCAGTAAAATGCATGTTTGATAATATTTGTCATGTAATGACGTTGTATGCGATATCTTCATAATAATTGTTTCCTCGTACCACACGAGTTAATGATTTACAAGGAATTGAATCAGTTATTTCCTTGCAGGAGTTCCTATCATTAGAAGAAATAAACGATGGCAAAGAGAAGGAAGCGGAGAAGACCAGATTGAGTCTCTTGAATGGTACAGACAGTAAATTGGATAAAGCTAATCAAAAGGAGAGGATGAAGCCAACCGCCTTGGTGCTGTCTGGAGTTAGTGCGAGCTGGCAGCCCGAACCCATCGTCTATACTTTGAGAAACATCTCGCTGACAGTACCACCTGGGGAATTCATCGGAATTGTTGGTCTCGTTGGCTCAGGGAAGGTAGGAGAATATTTTTTAACAAGATTATTTTGAAACTGTGTTTAAAGCCAAATACTTTCAATACTTTATTTCGTTTCGCGAATGGGTATAAATTAATTTGTAAGTAATTTTACTAAAACGTTAGCCGATAATGTTCGCCAATTTAACCACCATAACGACAACCATCAATAAACAATGTAGAGCTAATTTAATGCAAATTATTTGTGACCATTTATTGTTTTTGATTTCATGGTTGTTCTTGTTAGTTATTTAGGTACTCGCAACTTAGCATTTTATGGTAAGATGTTGACCCCATACTGCCACACATCAAGATGGTGCGGTCTACGACCTGATAATGGTTAACTATTTTTATTTTGCTTGATACTTATATATTTTTTATTTTAAAGTCGTCGCTGCTGCAACTACTCCTGGGCGAACTACCACCATCAGAAGGGTCATTATCTCTCGGTGGCTCCCGCATATCCTACGCCAGCCAGGAGCCGTGGCTCTTCGTAGCTACAGTCCGCCAGAACATTCTCTTCGGCCTGCCTTATGATCCCGTGCGATACAAGAAGGTAGGCATCTACTTTTAATGTTAACAAACTCATGTTCCTAAGTATTACCACAGGTATTAGGTATTCGAAAAGTTATATAATAACACTAGCTTTCCGCCCGCGGCTTCGCCCGCGTGGAATTTTGTCTGTCACAGAAAAACTTTATCGCGCGCGTCCCTGTTTCAAAAACCGGGATAAAAACTATCCTATGTTCTTTCCCGGGACTCAAACTATCTCTATGCCAAATTTCATCAAAATCGGTTGCGAGGTTTAAGCGGGAAAGCGTAACAGACAGACAGACAGACAGACAGACAGACAGACAGACAGAGTTACTTTCGCATTTATAATATTAGTTGGGATGTGTGTATTTATAGGTATAAATATGTATGACACTTGAAAATCAATTGTCTCGATCCGTGTAATGTATGATAAATACTTGCTTCTGTAGTGGACAAAGCGCTTAGGTAATGTAATGTACTCACCCATTCTTGGAGCAGTCTTTGTATACATGAAATATGAACGAATGCCTTTTGTTTCTTGGCTACCTTCTTGGAAATGGTAACCCCCGACATAACGCTAAAATTAAAAAATAAAATTAAAGAGCACTTATTAACTTTTACTCCTACCTATTTTTTAAAAAACTTTATTGCACATAATACAGGGTGCAAAAGGCGATATGCCGTATGGCCATATATTATCATTCAACCTTTGGTATAAATACAGAATACCTACATAAGTATTTAACTTCTTAAGTTGTTATTCAACAAAAAAAAAATACTGCCGGGAGATGAAGCGCCAGATGACGTTCGGGAATGATTTTGTTTACGAAACGACTTTAAAACTTATTTTTGGCATTAGGTGGTGACCGCGTGTGCCCTTTTGAGAGACTTTGAGCAACTTCCAAATGGAGACGCGACGCTGGTTGGCGAGAGAGGCGCCAGTCTTAGTGGTGGCCAGAGGGCTCGAGTTGGCCTCGCAAGAGCATGCTACAGAGAGGTAATTGAAATTCTGTAACTAATTTATGAAACTATTGTACAGCTACGACGCGACGGCACGCTGAATCAATTTAAACACTGGCATCTTTAATAAATGAGATGCAATGTAGAGTCTGTATAACTTTACATAACAATGGGGCCGATTCCTGTAGCTATATATTATTTGTAATTATACTGAGCTGTTGTAGTTTATTTTATAAGTGATAAAAACGAACCTATGACAACATTCATAATGTTCTTTATATTGAAAGGAATTAAACCTATTTGACCATCTGCGTACAAAGGGCTGTCTGCAGTGAAGAACACATTAATGTTTATTTTTTCTTATCGCGTATAGCGGGATGACCTGAATTACTCATTGTTACTCTCATTACAATATGCTACGTCCTCATTAAAACTGGTAACAAAAGTTACATTAAGCAGGGACACCTTATGTTGTTGTAGTAAATACGATTTTACTTCAATTGTAAGTCGTATGAATTCGTATGTGATGAGCGGTCGTCTGTAAATACCTACTACTCAATGATCTGATAATTTAGGTACCTATATTCTAAGTTTATCTATTCTATGTTGTGCATATTATGCACTTAGTAAAAAACAATAATTAATGTACCTAATTACGGTAGTATCTTTTGCTTCCAACTTGTTTAATAGAATTCAATTCCTAGGCCTCGTTACTTGACAGTTTTGTTTTTTTAGGCGGACATTTACTTATTGGACGACCCGCTATCTGCCGTGGACACGCACGTGGGCAAAGAGCTGGTAGCCAAGTGTGTGATGGGCCTGCTCCGACACTCCACGCGAATCCTCGTCACTCATCAGCTGCATCATCTCAAAGCAGCTGACAGAGTCGTCATACTTCGCAATGTAAGTCCTAAAAAAGCATAACGTTTTGAAATTCATATCACTAGACACTTCCGACTGATAAGGGACCGATAAGTTCTCCTAGAGTCGCTGGGATGACTTTATATGGAGAGACGTAATATAAATGTTAAGAACAAGTTTACAGGTAGCATATCAAGTAGTCTAGGTTAAAATAAAATTAGTAAAATTGATAATGTCTGTCTGCTAAGTCGGGTTAGTAGTAGACTATTCACATGTACAGGGTGTCCCAAAAACAATGGATAACCCTGTAACCATCGATAGGCCTCGCCATGGTCTCCCTAACGTCCAATTTTGACCCCAGTAAAAATATCACCGTTTTCAAGATTTTTGAGTTTTTGTTAATTTTTAGAAAATTGCCACTTGCGATTACTTTTTCTCATGCCATTTCTACAAATGAGGATACTTTTCAATTTAGTTTTTTTCCTTATCACAAGGGATAGTTGGCTATCAAAAGAAATGATTAAAGTTCAACAAACTAGTTTAAAAGTATGAAAATTTTAAGAAATTGCAGAGAAGAAGGAAAAATTAATTCATTGTCTTGCACTTTTGATCAGCCGTCGTGTAAAAAAATGTAGGAAGACCATCGTGCCCATTACCTTAAAAACTTCCTTGGTTAATTGAGATTCTAAAAAGGTATCACAAGCCTATGTATTCTGTATTATTTTTATCTTATGGCTACTTGAATAGCAACTAGTATGAAAACTGCAAAAATGAGTTTTTCTCGTAATAGTTAAACTAGGACTGCATAGTGGCATTAAATACAAATGGATAATTTTTAGCGTAGGAATTTTAATAAAGCAACATTTTATCATCATCATCATCATTTCAGCCATAGGACGTCCCCTGCTGAACATAGGCCTGTACCCCAATGATTTTCATAATGACCGCTTGGTAGCGGCCTGCACCCAGCACCTTCCTGCTTACCTTTTTGAGGTCGTCGGTCCACTTTGTAGGTGGACGTCCTACGATGCGCTTTCCGGTACGTAGCCTCCACTTGAACCCTGTTGCCCCATTGGCCGTCCGTTCTGCGTTTTTGTGATTACTTAATTTTTGTTTTAAACCTTATAAATGTGCCTATAGACAGATACCCGTGATAATACACGGCTCGGAAACGTGGATTTTTTGGACAGCGTGCTATGGAAGGGGCTATGCTCGGGTTTCTTCACGAAACCGTATCAGAAATTAGGAGATCCGTAAACGAACTAAAGTCGCTGACATAGCTCGACGGATCAGCAAGCTGAAGTGGCAATGGGCAGGGCACAGTAGTTTGCAGAACTGAGGCAGCAGGGTTAAAGTGGAGGCTACGTACCGGAAAGCGCATCGTAGGACGTCCACCTACAAAGTGGACCGACGACCTCATAAAGGTAAGCAGGAAGGTGCTGGGTGCAGGCCGCTACCAAGCGGTCATTATGAAAATCATTGGGGTACAGGCCTATGTTCAGCAGTGGACGTCCTATGGCTGAAATGATGATGATGATGATGATAAAATGTTGCTTTATTAAAATTCCTACGCTAAAAATTATCCATTTGTATTTAATGCCACTATGCAGTCCTAGTTTAACTATTACGAGAAAAACTCATTTTTGCAGTTTTCATACTAGTTGCTATTCAAGTAGCCATAAGATAAAAATAATACAGAATACATAGGCTTGTGATACCTTTTTAGAATCTCAATTAACCAAGGAAGTTTTTAAGGTAATGGGCACGATGGTCTTCCTACATTTTTTTTACACGACGGCTGATCAAAAGTGCAAGACAATGAATTAATTTTTCCTTCTTCTCTGCAATTTCTTAAAATTTTCATACTTTTAAACTAGTTTGTTGAACTTTAATCTTTTCTTTTGATAGCCTAACTATCCCTTTTGATAAGGAAAAAAACTAGATTGAAAAGTATCCTCATTTGTAGAAATGGCATGAGAAAAAGTAATCGCAGGTGGCAATTTTCTAAAAATGCACAAAAACTCAAAAATCTTGAAAACGGTGATATTTTTACTGGGGTCAAAATTGGACGTTAGGGAGACCATGGCGAGGCCTATTGATGGTTACAGGGTTATCCATTGTTTTTGGGACACCCTGTATAATATAATGAGAATGTCCTAAATCCACTATTAGGTCTACCAAGCAAATCTTTGAGTAAGCATGGCTCTACCAAGCAAATATTCGCTTTGTGTTAATTTCTACGATAACGAAAACGACCACAGATGCACTTGTTGATGCAATTTTGCAGATGTGTCCAATGTTTGTGATAATAACTGTCGAGTGGTGAGTCAATGTGGCAATAAAATATAATTTTACGTAATAACAGCGAATCCTGGACATCATCATCATTTCTCTGAGCGACCTTAAACGAATGATTTTGAATTTGAATTAGTATAGTTAGTAGTTACCTAGGTTTTTCAGAAAGCATTTGATAATGACTTCTCTGTGTCACCTTGTGTGACGGAATGTACATATAGATGACCCACGCTGAACTGTCCCACCAAACTCAATGACAGGGGGGCGCTACCATCGTTCAACTATATGGTTTCCAACATGGCAAAAATCTGAACCAGCGATCCGGTATTGACGGTGGCGCCCCACTGTCAATGTCATCGACAGGACAGTCCAGTATTTTGGAACTATACTTATGAAAGTATAGTCGGTACGAATAGAGAATAAGAGCTCTACATTTATTATCCTTGATATTAAACTGTCAGATAACTCTAACTCTACCTACATGCTTTAAATTTAAATTAAATATAAATATTATGAGGCCTATGTTCAGCAGTGGACGTCCTGTGGCTGAAATGATGATGATGATGATGAAATATTATGTAGGTACGAAAGATGAAATCAACAATAGAATTTTATATTAGTCAACCACTAATTTGCATGCATCTCTCGTCTTTTCTATTGGTGCGAAGTCTAGGTACCTGCATAAGATATTTTGAAAAGAATAATGGATGTTTTAAAAACATTTAACTCAATATCCGTAGCAAATTATGAATTAATTTACAGCTTTTGCCAAATGCACTGCAACAATACAATAGGAACATGTCGAACGATGGCACATCATAATAATATTGTGGCACCTGCACCTTTTACATTTTGTAATAAGTAAGGTGTGATTTTGCAACTGCAACAAAGATTTGTGGATAATACCAAATATTTAGATTGTACTAAGTATACGTATTAGATACTAGCGGCCGCCCGCGACTTCGTACGCGTGGATCCCGTTTTACCCCCTTCATCTATCTTACGCGGTTTAGATTTTTTCATACAATTTTTTTCCCGCTAACTCCCGTTCCGGTGGGAATTTTGCAATATCCTGTTGTAACTAAGCTTTATGTTTACTAAGGTACCTGCATGCCAAATTTCAAGCGTCTATATTACGCGGTTTAGATTTTTTCATACAAATGTTTTTTCCCGGTAACTCCCGTTCCCGTGGGAATTTTGCAATATCCTGTTGTAACTAAGCTTTAAGTTTACTAAGGTACCTGCATGCCAAATTTCAAGCGTCCAACTTAAGCGGTTTAGATTTTTCATACAAAAGGATTTTCCCGCTAATTCCCATTCCCGTGGGAATTCTTAAGTATCCTATAACCTGCCCAGGAGTATGAAGAATAATTGTACCAAGTTTCGTTAAAATCCGTTGAGCAGTTTTTGTTTCTATAAGGAACATACAGACAGACAGACAGACAAAAATNCCAGACGATAAAATATGAATTATGACTAAATATCAAACAAAGTTCAAGAAACAAAAAATAGGTTTATGTCATGTACAGAAACCAAAGCGTCTAACATTTTCTGAGACAATATTAAACCAAGTTCCTACTCCGTGTCTTTATTCAGACACCTTGATTCAGTCAGCTTCAGTATTATGACTGTGATGATTGAATTTTTATAATCATGCTAAGAAAAAATAACAAAATACTAATTCTCAATTTATACTTCATAGAAAGGGAAGAAAGACTCATTCATTATTATGAGTTTGTGGCAGCGTTATCAATTCGTAAAATAAAATCGCATTATTTTTTGGTATTATTAAAAAATGTCCTTAATCTAAACTAAAGGTTACAAGTAGTGGTAGTACTGGTAGGTACCTACATAATACATAGTTTATTTTATGTGGTTGATTCGTTCTTTGACTGACCAAAGTCCACTAGTCCGGTTGTTATTACAAGCGGCCCGATTTATTTTTTGATGCGTCAATAATTTTCTATTACATTGATTACAATGTAATTATTATTGTGTTAATATATTTATAAAGGCATAGTTATTATCGCTTTAACGCATAATAAGATACTTTGCTTGTCTAAAAGATTTAGCAAGATAAGAAATGATTCAATGTATTTCATGATGTCGCATCTCTTCATAAGAGAATTATAACGTTATAACATAAATAATTTATACGAACCAATTGTAAAACAGTACATGGAGTTAAAACTGACCTCTTTTTTTTTTTAGTAAATAAATAATAATAATGATGATGAAGCCTTACTTTGTAAGACTATCAATAGTATTATTAGCATTAATCATACATTGATTAGTAGGTGGGTCGATCAACTTTTTAACCGACATAAGCTTGTCCCGTCGATATCGCATTCAAAAACGACTAAATTAAGATAATTTAAAAATTATTTTTAAGTTCCATTCAATTAACAGTTCAGAAACCTTAATAATTAACATATGAAATCTAGATAATATTAAGAAATAAACATTAAAACTATGGTAACTCAGCATACGACTTCTTACCTTCCATACAAATTACAGCTGTCCCCAGAGCGAGGTGGCTATATGTAATTTCAAATGTTAGAAAAATTTTCCTTTAAAAGTATTCAAGTCTGCTAATAAATTGCTTATAAATTAAACAAGGTTTAGTTTGTACTTTGTAAAATATAAAAATATGTTATGATTTTAAAGAAAAAAGTCCCTAAAACTGTGTCCCGAATTCAGCCCATTTTGTAGTGTATGCAGAGTTACCGCGTAAAAAATAAACAAACATTATGCTACACGTCACAAATTTCTAATGAAGAACGGCGGTACAACCTTTGTACTTGGCCGCGCGGCGGCGAGCCTTTGATTCCATCCGCCGCGCGGCCAGTCCGCGACAAGCTATCGAGGAGTGCGCGTGTGTTTATTCAGTGTCGGCGGAGTTACCGGATTATTTCGATGAACAGGTAAATGTTTTTATATTTCTTTATCAGATTTTCAAGGTTTCTAAGGCTGATTTCCCATGGGTCAACTCAAAACGTTTGCAATATTAGGAAATTTTAATTTACAAGCTATTACGTAAAAAATGTCTGCTGAGTTACCTGTATACTGCGTTACCAAAAAGGTAACTCTAAAGACAATTTAGGTAACTCTTTAGACATTATACGATTTTCAAAGAGAAAGTGTCATAATAAATTTATTAATTACTTTCAGATTGTAAACTCACTAATAATGGCATTAACGGCGGCCGAAAAGCAGAAAAGGTACCGTGAAAAATTAAAAAAAAATCCCGAAAAATATGAGGAGGCGAAACGAAAGCACCGTGAACTTTATCATAAATCTAAAAGACTTGTCAAAGATTTAACGCCCAAAGAAAAGAGAAACGCTAATATTATCTGGAAACTACGCCAACGGGCATACCGCAAAAAACCGAAGTCTTTACAAAATGTTTTGAACGTCACACCTCCGAGTTCACCAGCTTCTAGTGTTCATATATTTGAGGGTCAGCAGACGCCACCTTTATCTCCTGCACCGGATTCACCACATGTTAGGGGAAGAAAGAAAGTTAGAAAAGATAGAAGCAAACTTTATAGGGAAAATGTTGTTATGAAAATAGAAATCGAGAAGTTAAAGAGAACTGTTGAAAAGTATAAGAAAAGAGCGCAACGAGTAAATTTAAATGAAAACGTTGAAGAGAACATACTGCATGATAAATACAAAATTTTGGCTTCAAGTATTAAACATAGATACCATGAGACGAAAGATCGTAAAGGAAAGACAATTTTGAAAAACATTTTGAATACGGAGCAAATAGAAGAGTCCAGAAGTAAGACACAATTATTTAAAGATGTTCTAGGAGTCAACAGAAAATACAACTCCAAAAAACAAAAAACTACCAACTCTGATTCGCTGAAAGAAAAAATACAGAACTTTTTTCTACGGGATGATATTACAAGAGCTACAGCAGGTAAGAAAGAAACAGTCACCAAACATGGAGAGAAAGTTCAAAAAAGATATCTTCTTGAAACACAACGTAATCTATATAACATTTTCAAGGCGGAAAATCCGGATCTTCCATGTTCTTACTATTACTTTACGAAAAATCGACCATTTTACGTCGTTAAACCATCCGTTGATGCAAGAGAAATGTGTTTGTGTAAAAAACACTCTAATTTCTCATATAAAGCTGAAGCTCTTAAACATTTACATCACATTTTTTGATTAATGATGAAAACTTAAGCAATATTATTCGAGATACAGTATGCAACGACCTTTCTAAAGATTGCATGTATGGTGATTGTAAGGAATGCAAAAATATGAAAATTCAATATAATGAACAAAATATTAATGGAACTATACAATACAATGAATGGATCAGGAAGAACGTAGAATATGAAAAGGATGGAAAACAATGCTAATCAATTAAGAATGTTAGAGAAGTAAAACAGGAAGAGACAGAAAAATTTGTTAGAAAGTTTGAGAAAGAATTGACACATTTTAAGAAACACGTTTTAACATAAAATCGCAATTTCACAATTTTCACCAGTGCTTGAATGGTCTTAAAGAAAATGAATGCCTGATCGTCGCTGATTTTAGTGAAAATTATGAGTCTAAATATTTCAAGGAAACTCAAGCGCATCATTTTAATTCAAGAAACCAAGTGTCCCTTCATACTGTAATGGTTTACACATGGGACGCAGACACAAAATATAAAGCAAACTCATTTTGCACAGTTTCGTCTTCAAACTGTAACCAACCTGCTGCCATCTGGGCACACTTAGAACCTATTTTGGATTGGATCAAAAGATAACATACTTCTGTTGATACTGTACATTTTTTCTCGGACGGCCCATCGACTCAGTATCGCCAGAAGCAAAATTTTTACTTCCTTTGCACGCGATACTTCGACTATGGATTTTCCGCAACCACCTGGTCATTTTTTGAGGCAGGGCATGGAAAAGGCCCTGCAGATGGAATTGGTGGGTATCTAAAACGCACAGCAGATAGTCTTGTTGCAATGGGACGGGATATACCAGATGCAACACAATTTTACGAGACTATGAAAGATACCAGCAAAATTATGATGTACTTGATTAATGCTCAAAAAATTCAACAGCATGAAGCAATTTTACCAAAGATCATTCCACGTTTAGTTGGAACAATGCAAGTCCATCAAATTTTTACGGAAACAAGAGGTAAATTGCACCACAGGATTCTCAGTTGTTTCTGCGATTCAGGAAAAAGGGGATTTTGTAACTGCTTTGATCCAAAAACCTTTAATGTACTCAGCAATGGCCCCGACAGTGACTTTTCATCAGATGACGATGTACCACTGGGCATCTTTGCAGCAGGTCGAGCTGACACACCACCTGCAGAAGATTTGCCATCATATGACAACGCTGTACTTTATGAAATACAGAACATCTCTCGTCTAAGTATCTACAAAGCGGTTTATGGATCCTCATCTGATGATGACGAAGTCGTGCACGATGAAGAAAACCTAGCTTCAATAAACAATAAAGAAAACATCATGCCCATGCATGTTAATGATATTTATGATGATCCACAGCCGTCAACAAGTACTATGGATGTCCCGAAGCAGGTGTCTGTTGGTGATTTTCTACATGTAAATGTTTATACAAGCGCAAATAAAAAGAAGGTTTATTCTTACGTTTGTAAAGCTTTGTCTGATATTGAAGAAGACGGTGAAGTTAAAGTGGTGTTCCTCCGAGTTGCGACTAAGGATGCAAAAAGATTTCGGCTAGATGAAACGGATATCAGCTACGTTAATTATGAAGACATTATAACTATCTTACCAACTCCTACAATTTTAAAAAGAGGACACCGAATTTACTACGAGTTTAAGACTGCAATCAATATTTTTGAAAAATAAGACTAATTTTGATCTCATTTCCTACTTGTTATTTGCATATTTTTTTTTCGTTACCAAAAAAAAAAGATTTGTTATTATTTTGCCATATAATATTATTATAAAGTATAATAGTTATGTTCAGAAATATATAGATTGTTAAATTGTTGTCTCCTGAGTTACCAAAACTGTCTCATGCGTTACGATTTGTCCCTAAATTTATGAGCCGTTTTTGTGAGGTAACAATATGTGATTGATTTTATTTTAATGATTATTTTATGGTAACAGTAAAAGATGATTAATTACTTTAATTTCAGAGTAAAGTGTGATTTTATTTTAAGTTTTTAAATAAGTACAGAGAAAATTAACAATATGTATGACTCGTTAGTAACTCAGCATACATATTCCTCATATTTTAAGGCCTAAGTTTTAAAATTATATACAAATGCTGTATGCCAAACTATTTGATTTTGCATGACTGAATAAATCTACCAAAATAAAAATTGAAGTCTTTTATTGTTTAAGAATTGCAGGGTAATTGTAAAGTAAAGACATCACTATTTGCATTTCTGAACTGTCATTGTCTATGATTGTGTTGTCTATGCCTGTATCGCATTTCGGAAGCCATTAAAACCACAAGTTGTCTTTTCTNAAAGTTGATCGACCCACAAAAGTATTCAAATCACACACTGGCAATAAAAAAACGTAACTCCACCGGCCTCGTCTTGATCCCGGACTTAAACTTTTTTGATTTATGACCGAAACTCTGTTTTGGATTCCGCACCAAAAGCTTGCAAGCTTGCAGTATTTTTGATGAGCCTCAAACAATTGCTCTTTGGGAAGTTTGGGAGGAATTTCGCATCAATTTTATACACTTAAAGATTGTCAGCTGAATACATTTTAGTAAACTGAAAAAGTTTCGTTGAGCTTGATAATTCAATTTGTATTTTTTTCAAAGAAAATAAATAAACACCAAAGCAAGCTATCAAAAATTGTATATGAAAGTTTTCTCAAAAAAGACAATATCAATGTCACACCTGTACATTCCACTGACCACGGGCTGGAAGTGGTAGTGTAGGCAGGTCTCCTACTAGGTGTACCGACGATCTGGTAAAGGTCGCGGGAAGAGCCTGGATGCGGGCAGCGCAGGACCGTGCATTGTGGAAAACCTTGGAGGAGGCCTTTGTCCAGCAGTGGACGTCATTTGGCTGAAACTAACCTGTACATTCAGGTTGGTATTCCGAAATTAAGTTCAGACTCAAGAACAGATTTTATTTTAAGATTGTCTCCAAACAAAAAAAAATCAAATAATTATATTTTGAGCGTGGAATGTAGAGATGTAGGTACCCACTTGAGTGTCATTTCATATTACAAGGGGTATTAATTAGTTTAATAATTATGTATTTCGTGTGTCACAAATTAAGCCTTGTCGGTCTAAGATGCGCGATGATAAGCTTTATCGCACCACTTTATAGATTTTACGCGATAAGCCCATACATTAGTCATCTAAAATCATCGATATGATTTTATCACGGCGCGCATCCCATCCATTGACTTTTTTTCAGCTATTTGTCAATCAAAAACATTTCGATTTGCCGAATTCATACCCAAATGTCAAGACCTTCACCGGCTACAAACCTTCGAAAACAATACACGATCGCCGACCGAGTTGAGCTCAACTCCGCCGAAGTTTGATAGGACCCGCATCACCGCGCGCGTCCCAACTTTACTGATTTATTACCCGCAGCCCAACTATTAATTCGGGTCTTATCCTGGCATAGTTGAGATGACGAGAACTCTTGTTTATTTGCGAGACAGCTTTGGTTTTATTGAAGTTATTCGGAGGTGATGTTGATTTATTGGGACCGCAATGAAATTAATTTGGGAAATATGAATGACGGATTTTGCGGGGGGAGGTGAAGGAAAGTCATAGTTAATCTCTTTGAAAACCGCTTCTATGTTCTTCGGATTAATTTCATTGCGAGTCCATTGATAATTTAATTTTCCCCCGAGACAAACTTGACCTTCACTGGTTGGGATTTTTTTGGCGGTCAAGCTGTAGATCCTGGCTAAATAAAGGTTTAAAAATAAAGATGCGAAAAAGTATATTACAAATAAAAAAATAAAACTTCCTCTCGCATTTATTAGTTGCCTATTCGGTTTTACACGTAGAAATGCAAGCAATCAAACTTTCCAATAAGCAACAGAATTTCATACCTCTCAGCCGGGCTAGGATGCGCACCATGAAAAAATAATTATCGATTATTTTAGTCGACAAAAGTATGGGCTTATCACGTAAAATCGATAAAATGGCGTGATAAAAGCCTATCGCGGCGTGCATTCTAGGCCTACAGGTAACAAGTTTTATTGCAAATGATCGACGGCACGTCTGTCGGACCCAAACCGTGTAACATCCAATAATCCCTCTAGTGACAGGTCGATTTTTCAATCTGTAATAAATGCGCATATTTTGTATAAGTTATTTTTTATTGCCACGGATACAGCTTTGTTTCGGGTGTTTTTATGATCGCGCAAGGTTGGGTGGAATCAATGTCTGCTACTGAATCGTACATTTTGAGGTAAGTCGTTTAGTGTTGCCACGTCATCGATATTGTATTGAATTCAATATTTCAAATTCAAAGGTTTCAATACCAAGTCTATTATTTTGTTACAGTTACCGATATATTGGGGCATGAACATTAAATGTAAAGATACGTATGAAAAATAATATGCACAGAAAATGTGTATGAATCTTTTGTGAAAAGGTGGGCTAATAAGGCGAAGTGGGTTAATGGCAATAAAATCCCGTTGAGACTTTCTATTTCACTGCATCTTCTATTAATTAAAACTCAAAGGTGACTGACTGACTGACATAGTGATCTATCTATCAACGCACAGCCCAAACCACTCGACGGATCGGGCTGAAATTTGGCATGCAGGTAGATGTTATGACGTAAGCATCCGCTAAGAAAGGATTTTTCGAAACTCCACCCCTAAGGCGGTAAAACGGGATCCACGCGTACGAAGTCGCGGGAGGCCGCTAGTTTTAGTATACAATTCAATACTTAGGACCTACTCGTACCATCGCCCCTTGCCTGTCGTGGTGAGCTCACTCCTAACACAAGCACTTTATCTTAGTACAAGGTTCTAACTAGACGATTAGTCTTTTTATGCACAAAATCTTTTAAAAAAGTTAAAAATAAATTAAACGTCTTTTCGTAGAAGGTTTAACAGTTCACTGACCATACCAAATTAAATCATTCTCAGTGTCTTCTCTGAAAGACATTTAATTTTGAGCCAGTCAGACGAAAACCATCGCGTTGAGTAAAGTTTCCAGTATCGTTTGGAATAGTTTGTATTTCCACAAATCGCCAGG